CCCCACCCACCCAGACAGGCAGAGCCCCCCCCACCACACACACCCCCACCCACCCAGACAGGCAGAGCCCTCCCCACCACACACACACAGACGGGCAGACTCTCTCTCTAACACACACACACACACACACACACACAGGCAGACCCCCTACACACACACCTATCCACAGACAGGCAGACCGCGCCCGACACAAACACACCCCAACAGGCAGACAAACCCCCCAAACACAGAGACACACTGTCACAGACCCCCAGATACACAGACAGACCCACAGTCCAAGACACCCACCCACTTCCCCAACACACACACACACAGAGACCCACCACTACCTGCTGAAGGAGATTTACTGGGAAGCTGCCTGAGCTAGGAGGAAGTGTAAGGCAGGAGGGGAAGCTGGTGGAGGTGTAGAAGATTATGAAGGGGCCCAGGAAGGCACGATGGACCCCAGCCTCACCGCCAATGCCAACACCCCTCAAATAACAATTACATTCGGATTACTTACAGTCATAGAGCTGTACAGCTTGGAAACAGACCCTTCGGTCCAACTCGTCCATGCCGATCAGATATCCTAAATTAATCTCGTCCCATTTGCCAGCATTTGGCCCATATCCCTCTAAACCCTTCCTATTCAAGTGTCCATCCAGATGCCTTTTAAATGTTGTAACTGTACCCCCCTCCACCACTTCCTCTGGCAGCCTGTCCCATACATCCTCTGCATGAAAATGCTGCTCCTCAGGTCACTTTTAAATCTTTCCCCTCTCACCTTAAACCTGTGCCCTATAGTTTTGGACTCTCCTACCCTGGGGAAAAGACCTTGACTATTCACCCTGTCCATGTCCCTCATGATTTTATAAACCTCTATAAAAGGTCACCCCCTCAGTATCTGACACTTCAGAGAAAATAGCCCCAGACTATTCAGCCTCTCCCTATAGCTCAAACCCTCCAACCCTGGCAACATGCTTGTAAATCTTTTCTGCTCCCTTTCAGGTTTCACTACAACCTTCCTATCGAAGGAGGACCGTAACGATGGGCTCAGGAGACCGTTGCCCCTTGGCCCATCCTGGGAGTGACGGATGTTTCTGTAGACCCGCTCCCAGTTTCGGCAGATTCCCCCTTCCCTGTTTTAATGGTGGTGTTGGTTGAGGGATATACACCGAGGGAGGGCTCCCACGCCCCTCCTCCTCAGGAATGAGAGCGTTTCTGGCCTGAGTGGCCCACACCCCGCCCTGGCACCCACCCCGGAGAGATAGCCACAAGTTAATGACTCACCTCCTTCATCATGACCGAGTGGGCTCTCGTCCGCAGGAAGTGGATAATCTGGAGGAAGGAGGCAGCACAGGATTAACCACGTTGCAGGGAGAGGGACTGCAGCAAGGCCGAGATCCAGCCGAGGGGGGAGGGGAGGGGAGGGAGGGAGCAGGTGCGAGTTTTGCATTTCTGTAGCGCACCTTCCACGAGCTTGAGAACACCCCAAAGCCATTCTGCGGTCACCTTCCGAACTGCAGTCGCTACGAGAAGGTGGGAAACAGAGCAGGCATGGTGTGCACAGAAAGCTCCCACAGATATTGGGGTATATGCCTGTCAGCGTGCCGTGTGCGCGTCAGTCTCGGGTGTACGCCTGTCAGACATGAGCGTACGGCCTGTCAGTATGTAGGCATCTTTGGTTCCTGTCTGTATCCAGTCCTGTCCGATTCCTGTGTGTATCTAGTTCACCCGTACATACAGCCCTGGCTGTGCCTGTGGTCTGGGTACTCTGGGCCCATATCCCGGAGGAAGTCGGCGTGGAGCCCGCGGAGGAAGAGTTTGTGCGCGAAGGCTCTGGGTCGGCCTGTTACCTGCTCGGCAGTGATCCCGTTGGCGATGGACTGCTGCACACTCTCTCGGCTGAGCTGAGCCACCACCATGTTGGGAAAGCGATACAGCATTTCGGAGAACAGTGCGATGAGAGCCAGCTGCAGCTCCGAGTCTGCACACGGAGAGGGGGAACGAGGGAGGGAAGGAGAAGAACACACAATGAGGCGTTCACTCAACACGGCACTACCAACAGCTCAGCTCTACCCGGGGAACCCAGGCTATACCGGCCAATCCACATCGCCCACTGAAACAACAATTCGGGGGCGCGGGGCGGGGGGGGGGGGCGAATGGCGCAGGGGGGGGGGGCGGGGGGGGGGCAGGACGCGGAGACACGGAGCGGGGCCGTGAGGAGGTGGTGGAGTGCAATGGGGATGGGAGGCTGAGAGAGAGGACAAGGGGGAGGGGTGGCAGAGAGGGAGGGAGGGAGAGGAAGAGCGTGATGAGCAGGGAGAAAGGGAGTGACGGAGGAGAGGGAGAACGTGAGGGAGGGGATGAGCGAGGAGTGGGAGAAATAAGAGGGCATGGTGAGGAACATGAGGGGAGGCAGAACACAGGTGCAGGTGTTGGCCATTCAGCCCTTCGGGCATGCTCCACCATTTAACATGATCAGTGCTGATCCTCCAGCCCAGTTCCCTGTTCCTGCTTTTGCCCCATACCTCTTCAGCCCTAACAGCATTCAATGTTTTTGTCTCAACTGCTTTCTGTGGCAGAGAATTCCATAGACTGGCTGCTCTCCGGGTGAAGACATTTCTCCTCATCTCAGTCCTAAGTAGCCCACTGCGCATCCTCAGACTTTAATGGCAGGGGACGGCGATATATGGGGACGAATTAAGAATCTGTCCACCTCAGCCCTAAATATAACTCTGCCCCCTACAGTTCTCTCTCTGCGGCTGGGAGTTCCAAAGACTCTCAACCCACTGAGGGAAGAAATTCCTCCTCATCTAGGTCTTAAACTGGTGTCCCATTTATTCTAAGTATACACCGTCTGGTCCTAGAGACTTTCGCATGAGGAGAAACATCCTCTCAGCGTTAACCCTGTCCAGCCCTTTGAGCATCCTCTATGAAACAAGAGCTTAATTTCCAGAGCCTTTGGTGATGGGAGCATGAGCGAGGAACGATCTGAGTTTGGTCTGGTTCCCAGAGGAGACCGACCGCCAAGATCCTGTCTTTGTGACTCCCCTCCTCCCCGCCCCCCCCACTGGTCGATTTTCTGTTTCTAAAAAAAAAACCCCACGTATTCCTTGCTGCATGGTGCGCCGGTGTCGCTGACAGCGTTCCCTTCGGACTGAGAGTTCCTGGGCCTGGTGACCCCAGCCCGTCCCGTCGCCACAGGATGGGAACGGTGTGACCGTGCGCTCCCTGCAGCCAGACCCTCACCGGTGTAAGCGTAGATCCTGTAGTTTGTCTCCACAACGATGAATCCCTGACGGTGCACATCCACCGAGCTGCCGGACACTCCAGACGCCAGGTTAATGGCCAAGCGAGTTGGGTAGAATCGTCGTGACTTACGCTATGGACAGACATAGAGAGACGGAGAGAGTGAGAGACAGACAGTGCAAGAGAGAGAGAGAGGGGGGAGGGAGAGAGAGTTGGGGGGGGGGAGGAGGAGGGAGGCAGAGGGGGGGGGGCTCAGTAAAGAAGCAGCTTTACTTTCAGTTTTAAAAAAAGAGCTGAGGGAGCTTTACTCTGTATCTAAACCCGTGCTGTCCCTGTCCTTGGAGTGTTGGATGTAGAGAAAGCTTTACTTTCACTTTAAAGGGAGTTTGACTCTGTCTCCACTCCCTGCTGAGCCCTGGCAGTTGGGCTGACTGTGGGGACACTGTTACTTCGGGGATAAGCTACGACCCGGGGAAGGGGCTCCCCTGGGTAGCCCCCATCGGTCAGGTCCGACCCGAGAGCGAGCCTCCGAGTCCAGTCGCTCTTACCTTTCTCTGGAAGACGAGGCCAAATTCCCTCAGGTGCTGCAGGAACGTCAGCAGGGAGTCACTCATTCCTTCCACGGAGTAATCCTGCAATGGGAGCCATACAATTAGAGCCGGAGATGGTGCCCTGGGAGAGGGCAGTCTAGGTTACAACAGATTACATAAATGTGGCTTGTACTCCCCTCGGTTGGGAAGCTCGCGTTGGGGGGAGATGGTTTGGAACAAAGTTGCTCGTTATTCTCTCGCCAGGCCCCGTATACCTACAGCGAGTTGGCACACTTGGTGGGGAACAGACTATTGGCTACAAGGCCCCACACGTACATACAGATAAGCAAAGCCGTGGGACACTGTTCAGGGACATAAATGAGACCCTGACTCGCTGACTATAACTATAGGGCTTGTTAGGATTCACAGCACGGTTGGGAGTGATGCAAGAGCCTGGGACCCCAGCTGCATGACACCTTTGTTACTTAATGCAATTAAACGACGGTCCGATTATAACACTGCTGTAAGCTGATGCACACTGAGCTGAAAAGCCTCTTCGACCTGGATCACCCACAGGAGGACGGACGCTCCTTGATTACAACACCAACCACGGAAATAAAAAAGGCCAACGCGAGGCCACGTGGCCTGTCGTCCCCATGCCAGGCCTTTGAAAGAGCCATCCCACACCAAGCTCTTTCCCTGGCTGCCCTGAAAATTCTCCTAGAGACAGCTATGATCGAAGCTTCGCTTTTGCACGCCTTTCAGGCAGCACGATCCTGACCACAACAGCACATTGCGTCAAAATAAATCTTCCCATCTTCCCCCTCCTATCCCACCAAAATCAGCACCGATTTGCTAACGGTTCTCAAACCGTGCTCTCTTGGAGCCGTGCCCTCCTACAAACAAGAGGCGGCCTCTCGGCCTTCGCATTTGCTCCTTTGCGCACTAAGATCACAGCTGATCTGATTTTGACCTGAACTCTACATATCCCCCCTGCTCCCTCCCTGAGAATCTTTCACCCCCTTCGCTCATCAATAATCCATCCACCTCTGACTTGAATCCATTTAAAGATTCCACAACAATTGTCTTTTGAGGAATTTGATTTATTTATTGTTGTCGCAATTACCTAAGTACAGTGAAAAGGTTTATCTTGTGAGCAGTACAGGCAGATCATAGCAAACAAGGACATAAAAATCACAAGAGATAGTAAGGACTGCCGATGCTGGAGTCAGAGATAACAGGGTGTGGAGCTGGAGCAACACAGCAGGCCAGGCAGGATCACAGCAGGAAAGCTGATGTTTCAGGTCTGAAGAAAGAAGGGTCCTGACCCGAAACGTCAACTTTCCTGCTCCTCTCATGCTGCCTGGCCTGCTGTGTTCCTCCAGCTCCACACTGTGTTATCTCATAAAGATCAACGGGTGCTTAGACAGAGCGAAGACATTTCCAGGAATCTCAACCTTCAGAGAGAAAAAAAAAAGCTTCCTCACCTCTGTACTAAATGGGCACCCCCTTATTTTGTAGACTATGACCCCTGGTTGTAGATTCTCTCACAAGAGGAAACATCCTTTCTACATCCACCCAGTCAAGGCCGCTCAGGGTCTTATGTGTTTCAATTGACTCGTCTATACTCCAGAGGATGCAGGCTTAATCTTTCCTCAGAAGGTAAGCCACCGATTCCAGCTAATAGTCTAGTAATCCTCGTCTGAAGGCCATAAGATGTAGGGGCAGTGCCAGGCCATTCAGCCCATCATGTCTGCTCCTTCATTCAATCATGGCTGATATGTTCCAGAACCCCATTCTCTTGCCTTCTCCCCATAACCCACGATTCCCTTACTAATCAAGAACCTATCTCTGTCTTAAAGACACTCAATGACTTGGCCTCCACAGCCCTCTGCAGCAATGAGTTCCACAGATTCACCACCCTCAGGCTGAAGAAATTCCTCCTCGTCTCTGTTCTAAAGGGGTATGCCTTCTCTGTGAGTCGGTGCCCTGGAGCTGTAGTCTCTCCTGCTACTGGGAACATCTTGTCCAAACCAGTTTCTGCAAAGGATCTGGATAGTTGTCTGCCTTTTAATCTATCCACCTATGTGCCCCAAGTTTTGAACCCTGAGCGGTTGCACAGTTGCTGACATGCCAATTCTCAGAGTAGTCGCTGATGCCAAAAGATTTATATATAGTTATATCATGACCTCAGAACATCCCAAGACACTTTGCAGATGATGAATCCCTTTTTTTAAGTATAGTCATTGTTGTAAATGTAGGAAAGGCTTGTTCCTGATTTGAACCTAGAGTCAAAGATAAAGTCATAGAGGTCTACAGCATGGAAACAGGCCCTTCGGCCCAATTTTGTCCATGCTGCCCAGTTTTCACAATTGAACTAGTCCCATTTACTTGCGTTTGCTCCATACCCACCCCATCCATGTGCCTAGCTAAATGTTTCTTAAATGGCAAAATTATACTCATTTCCACCACTACCTCTGGCAGCCCGATCCAAACGCTCATTGCTCTCTGAAAAAAATAGCCTCTTTTTGCATCTCTCCCCTTAAACCCGTGGCCTCTAGTTTTAGATGCCCCTGCCCTGGGGAAAAGCTACTGGCTGTCGACATTATCTATGCCTCTCATGATTTTATAGTCCTCTATAAGGTCACCCCTCAGTCTCCCATGCTCCAGGGAAAAGTCCCAGTCCATCCAACCTCTCCTTTATAAGTCAAATCTTCCAGTCTAGGTTGCAGCCTAGTAAATCTTTTCTGTGCTCTTTCTAGTTTAATAACATCCTTTCTATAGTAAGGCAACCAGAACTGCACGCAGTACTCCAAATGTGGCCTCACCAATGTTTTGTACAGCTGCAACAAGACGCCCCAACTCCTGTACTCAACACTCTGATCTTCATTACCTTGTCTACCTGTGACTCCACTTTCAACTAGCCACAAACGCATACTCTTCGATCTCCTTGTCCTATAACACTCCCCTGGGGCTCTACCATTTACTGCGCAAGTCCTGCCCTGGTCGGACATACCAAGATCTGATACTGTTTTGTGTTTTCTTCCCCGCTTGTCCTCATCTCTCAGCGAGGGAGACCGGATAAGAAACGGGAGCTCAGGCTGACTACGATCTCACTCGATGATCTGCATGTCCTCCTATCCCTGTACTGCACGCAAACAAAAACATTTCACTGTACTTAGGTCCATGTGACAACAACAAATCAAATCAACAACTTTTCCTTTCCTTTCTGTGCCTGGGACACCCACGTCCCATGCTGGCTTTCGCCAATTCCAGTCGCCATCCAAAGATTCCAAAGAAAGGAGGCGATTGTCTGTGCAAAAACTGCGCAACAGAGCCCACTAAACAAATTGATCGTCAGGGTGTGCGCGTTGGCTGCTAGACCCATTATTTACTGTCCCATTTCTACTTACACTGAGAATAGTTTGATACAATGCAGCGTGTTGCTGGGCCCACTTCAAACGTACACTGAGGGTGCTCAAAGGCACACAGACAAGGTGGGTATAACTTTAGCACGACATGGGCCAATCAGCTGAGGTTTTAGAGCTGCAATCAAAAGATTTGCAGTCACTTTTACCGATACCTGCTCATCACTTTCACTTTCAATTTTAGAAACAAGACAAAGGAAAAAAAATCCAAATTTAGTTGGGCAGCAAACGCTCAGAAGTAGCTTGTTTTCTGGAACATGTTGAGTAAGCAACTGGGAAGTAACTATTTCAGATCAAATACGGTGAAATAAGAACAAAAGAAACAAAAGCTGGAGAACGCCATTATGAGACAGAGTTAACTTGTAATCTTATAACAAAGGATCCTCTGGGGAAGACTGATCATAATATGCCTGAAGATCATATAGCATTTCAGAGTTAAACTGAAACAAAACCGATCGTGGAGGAATGAGGGGTAAATTTGTTCAGGAAAAGAGAAATTGTTAAAGAGAAATTAGATTTTAAAAAAAGGTGTGGAAGTGGAATGGTGAAATGTTAAGGAATTAATTCCTTACTTTCAACAAGGGCAGGGCTTATACAATTAATGGTAGGGACTTGGGCAGTGTTACTGAACAGAGAGACCTAGAGAGGTTCAAGTACATAATTCTTTGAAGTTTACGTCACATGTAGACAGGGTGGTTAAGAAAGCATTTAGCATGCTTGCCTTATTTGCTCAGGCCTTTGAGTATAGGAGTTGGGATGTCATGTTGAGGTTGTACAAGACATTGGTGAGGCCTCTTCTGGAATACTGTGTCCAGTTCTGGTCACCCAGTTATAGGAAGGATGTTATTAAACTGGAGAGGGTTCAAAAGAGATAACAAGGTGTAGAGCTGGATGAACACAGCACGCCAAGCAGCAGAGGAGCAGGAAAGCTGACGTTTCAGGTCGAGACCCTTCTTCAGAAATGCAGGGTTCAGAAGAGATTTACCTGGATGTTACCAGGAATGGAGTTACAAAAGGAGAGGCTGGTTAGGCTAGGAATTTTTTCCACTGGAGAGTTGGAGGCTAAAAGGGTGACTTTATAGAGGTTTATAAAATTATGAAGGGGATAAATAAGATGAATGGCAGATGTGTTTTTCCTAGAGTGGTGGATTTCAAAACTAGGGGCACATTTTTTAAAGGTGAGAGGAGAAATATTTTAAAAAAGACATGGAGACAATTTTTGTTTTACATAGGGAATGGTTCGCGTGGAATGAATTTTCAGAGGAAGTGGTGGATGTGGGTACAGTTACAATGTTTAAATGACGTTTAGATAAGTAAATGAATAGCAAAGGTTTGGAGGAATTTGGGTCAAGCACAGGCAGGTGGGACTAGTTTAGTTTGGGGATTATGGTCGGCATGGACTGGTTGGACCGAAGGGTCTGTCTCCTTGCTGTATGACTGTAAATATGGATTTCCCCATGAATAGGAACTCACTGGAAAAGTAGTTCCACTGCAGCTAACTGGAAAAGTTAAAGGTGGTATTAGACTAAAATACTGGAAATACATTGGAACTTGGAATCTGGACCCAGCGAAGGAAACGGATGAGGGTCTCCACCAGGAGATGGGCTGAGGTGGAAATGGGCAGACTGTAATGACAGTGCAGATATAGGGGCGGATGCTCACATTCGATATTGGATCGAAAATGGCCTGGCTAGGTCTCAGACAGCTCTGGACTGAGAGGTGGGATTCGGGGCATCGAGGACAGACTCTGTAGCAGACAACGACCCTAATGGCTTCGGCATCCTCAACATTTTCATTGGAGAAAACTTGGGGGGGGGGGTGGTGGAGAGAGGGGGTAGCCCCTAGCGAACATCAACTGAGCAACGTGACTATCTGAAGATGTCCGCTCTCTCGAGTCAGCAGCAACGCCCCCCCGTCTCTCTTATAAACATTCCACTAATGAACAACTGAAGCACGTGGCGAATAAAGTTCGAGGAGCTCTGTAAACAAACATCTTGCTCATCTCAGAACACAATGAACACAAGGGAGGATTTCACAGTTACTGGCTACTCCCGAACACAGACCAGCTCTCCTCCTCCTCACAGGCCTCTGAACCCAGCTCTCAAAAAGGGGAAAGCTGAAGGAAGAACATCTCTAACAGCACCTCCTCAGCAACGCAGCGCCTCGCTCATCCTGCCTCCCTCCCGCACTCCGGAGACTGAGGGACGTGGCCCAGGAGTAGGTCAGAGAGAAAAAGAGAATACGAAGAGGCTGGGTCTAAATTGTGTGCCATGCTGGTGGCCTCTCTGAACGCAGCTCAAAAAGGCATCCAATTACTGGCCGGTCTCCTGTTCTAGCAACATGCTCCAGACAGCAATGTCATCATCACATCGCAGCAGGACTGCAATCCCACCAGGAAACATGTTCAGCATTAACCCTCTGGGATACAGTTGCTCTCCAGTGGAAGGGGATTAACCCTCTCACCCACCTCTCCCCCCTTTCACAGTCAGACGGTGGCACAGTGGTTAGCACTGCTGCCTCACAGCGTCAGGGACCCGGGTTCGATTCCACCCTCGGGCGACTGTCTATGGAGTTTGCGCATTCTCCCCGTGTCTGCGTGGGTTTGCTCCTACCATCCGCAGGTTGGGTGGACTGGCTGTGTTAAACTGCTCCATAGTGTACAGGGACATGTGGGGGAAGAGGGGTAAGCCATGGGAAATGCAGAGTTATAGGGAGAGAGGGGACGAGTCTGCGTGGAGTGTTCTTCGGAGGGTTGGAGCAGACCAGATGGGCTGAACGGCCTCTTTCCATACGATTCCACGAGCCCATAAATAGGGAAACCTACCACTGTGAAACGTAGGGATTCTACGGGACAGATAGAGATGGTTTGGCTCATTGAGTCTGCACTGACCCTCCAAACAGCAGACCGACTTAACATATGGACTCTGCAAGGGAACGCATTTGTGACCCAGGGATCCCAGGGGAGCGAGCGCTGCCACATAAATGAAAGTCTATCATAGCTGCCCTGCCTCTAAAGTCTTTTCTCTCTCTTTCCTTACAGTTGGCCCACTTTCAACAACTGAATGTTTGCACAGGAATGGCTAGAGTCCACGCGAAGCAAACAAATTTACAAAGGACCCAGGGGGATGCAGACTGGTCTGATGGACCAGCAGTCACTCCCTGGGAAAGGGTGAGGGGGTGGGAGGGTGCTATTAACGGCCCTGTGCCCAAAACCTGTTACCCCATGTCAGTCAGTGAGGACAACACTTACAAGCAGAAAAGGGATTTGACCATTTTAACCACCTCGATCGACTCAAAGTGAAATCCCCGAGGAGCATCGCAAAAGTCGAGATCAGACACTGTGCACTCTGACCTCACCCAGCTGGGCATGGCCCAAAGGGGCAGCTCTTTACCAGTGGGTAGAACTACCTTCGACTTGGAACACAGCTGGGAAAGGACTGGGGCTATTTCCCCCACCCCCTCTGTACCCCAAAAACCTGGTGCAATGAAACGGTGATAAATATGCCGGGTACAATCACTGTGGAAACGGCTGTTTGCTGTCTCAGCCGAGGCCGAGAGATTTATCATCAGCACATAGCTGCTGCTGAGATTTATTCCCAGTGATCAGATTAACCGCACTCAAAATTCCAGCAGAACAAGGAGGCTGACAGCCATTTACCTTCAAAAGGGCGCTTCAATGCAATGCTGCTCTAATTAACGCTTTTACATCTGCCCCCAGATCGACATAAACCAGCTTCACTGAATGTGGAATTATGTTCAGGGTTAGTGGCATTCCAGCCTCTAAATGTCTATTGTCAACACTTGCAAATTCCCAAAGAGCTCAGTCTCTGAAATACTACTTCTCTCTCTCTATCCTCCGGCTCACTGTCTGCTCTCTTTCCATATCTCTAACTCAATGTTCTCTCGTTCTCTCTCTCTCTCTCTCTGTCTCTATCCCTGGCTCACTGTTTCCACTCTCCACCCTCCTGGATTAGTCTGCTCTCTCCCCCACCAACCCCAGCACAACGTGGCTCTCTATCTCTTGCGTTCACTGTCTTCCCTCTCTGTACCTGTGTCATTGTTTCCACAATCTCTCTCTATTCCACCCCCCAAGCTCACTGCATCGCACCCTCTCTGTTCCCCCGTCTCGCTGCCCGCACCCTCTCTGTTCCCCTGTCTCGCTGCCAGTTCACTCCCTCTAATAATCCTCTGGCTCAATGTCTGCTCTCTCTCTTACTGGTTCAATGTTTGCTTTCTCTATCCCTGTCCACTGTTTTCTCTCTCTCTCTACCCCAGATCACTATCTGCTCGCTCACACTTTCTCTCTCTCTCTAAAAGTAGGTTCATCGTCTGCTCCGCTTCTTCATCTTTTGTTTCATTGTCCGATGTCTCTACCCCTCCCCCCCGCAACCAAAGCTCCCTGTCCCCTCTGTCGACAGCTCACTGTCTGCCCTCTCTCACCGTCCTCTCTATCTGCAGCGACTCTGCAAGGTTTCTTATATCACAGCTCCCAAATCTGTGACCTTTACCCTTTCGAAGGACAACAGCACGTGGAACTTCCCCTTAAAGTCACTCACCGTGAGGAGCTGTGCTGCGTTAAAATCCTGGAATCACCCCTCCTGAAAGCACTGTTACCCACAGCACACCACCATCCAAATGCCTTTTAAATGTTGTAATTGTACCAGCCTCCGCCACTTCCTCTGGCAGCTTATTCCATACCCTCTGCGTGAAAAAGTTGCCCCTTAGGCCCCTTTCCCCTCTCACCTTAACGCCCTCTAGTTTTGGACTCCCCTACCCTGGCGGAAAGACCTTGACTATTCACCCAACCATGCCGCTCATATTATAAACCTCTATAAGATCACACCCCTCAGCCTCCGAGGCTCCAGGGAAAATAGCCCCGGCCTATCCAGCCTCTCCCTATAGCTCAAACCCTCCAACCCTGGCAATATCCTTGTAAATCTTTTCTGAACCCTCTCAAGTCTCACAACATCCTCCCTGCTACAGGAAGGCCAGTAATGAATAGACAGAAGGATACCATTATTTAGCTTTAAGTGGGTGGGGAACAAGAGACAAGACAGACAGACTTTTATACAGCACCTTTCACCATAACAGCACCTGAAAAAATATTCTTCAGCAATGAAATACAGCACAGTTACTGTTACAGCCATAATCTTAAACATCAATAAAACCTTTACCAATCTGTTTCTGTGATGGCAACTGCAGGAGAAATATTAGACAGGCTACTGAGAATCGATTCTATCAGCTTTTAGAGTTATACAGAACAGAAACAGACCCTTCAGTTCAACTCATCCATGCAAACCAAGCTTCCTAAACTAAACTAGTCCCATTTGTGTTTGTCCCTTATCCCTCTAAACCTTTCCTATCCACGATTCTAAATGGCTTTTAAACATTGTAACTGTACTTCCTCTGGCAGCTTGTTCCACACACAAACCACCCTCTGTGTGGAAAAAGTTGCCCCTCAGGTCCCTTTTTATTCTTTCCCTTCTCACCTTAAACCTATACCCTCTCCTTTTAGACTCCCCTACCCTGGGGAAAATGACCTTTGCTATTCACCTTATCTATGCCCCTCATGATTTTATAAACATCTGTAAGGTCACCCCTCAGCCTCCAATGCTCCAGGGAAAATAGCCCCAGCCTATTCAGCCTCTCCTTATAACTCAAACCTTGCAGTCCTAGCAACATCCATGTAGATCTTTGCTGAACCCTTTCAAGTTTCACAACATCCTTTCCATAGCAGGGAGACCAAAATTGAACGCAATATTCCAAAAGTGGCCTAACCAATGTCCTTTACAGCCGCAACATGACCCTCCCAACTCCTACACTCAATACACTGACTACTAAAAGGAAGTGTGCCAAATGCCTTCATTTTCCTGTCTACCTGGGACTACACATTCAAGGAACTATGCACCCGCACCCCATTGTCATATTTTATATAACCTTTGAAACAATACCTTGTGATTGTTTACATTTAGACTTGCAGGCAGACGGGCTGAAGCCTTTAAAGCCAGATTCTGAAAGATGCCACTCCCCAACAGGGCAGCTCTCCCTCACCAGAGCGTCAGCCTGGAATTCTGTTGGTAGATATACGCGTGGCTCCAACGTGAAAGCGCTAACTCAGTCCCAGCTGGCTCTCACAGCTTCGGACTTACGGATATACTGGTATTTTTGAAGACAGCAGAGCTCACTCTCTCTCTCTCACTCTCACCTTGCCCAGTGTGGAGAAGCTGAGCTGGAACACGAAGGATAGGATCTCAACCAGGTCCATGTTGCGAGACTGAGATTTGGGGGGGGGAAAAGAGAACAGACAGAGAAATTGGTGAGAAACACAGATGTTGAATTATCGAACAGGTCGACGACATATCTAACCGATGCCCCTACTCCCGTAACCACTGTGGGGGGGGGCTCAGTGCAATAGCTTCCATCACCGTTCCCGATCTCTCCATCTGGCTTCTCCAATCGAACCAGAGGATGACAGAGAAACTCACAGGAAAGGAGCAGCTCACTCAACATCAGGTACTGGACAGATCGTCTCCAGTTCAATAGCGGAAAGACTGAAGCTACCGGTTCCCGACTCTGCCCCTGATGACGGGGGGCCCTGGACCTCGAAACGTAACCTCTTGCCTTCTCCTCCACAGACGCTGGGTTTCTCCAGCGGTTTCGGTCACCCCAACCCACCCCGTCAGCAGGTCGAGACGCAACCGATTTGCCCGCACTGACCGGTGACCTTTGACCCCGAGGCGGGCTCCCCTGGCCTCGCATTCGCGCCTGTGGAAATATCAGACCGGCATCGCGTGGGACCTCAGAGTGCCTGCGCAGTTGAGAGAACGTGGCCCGACAGACAACGAGACATCTCTTCAAGTATGATCGTAGGAACTGCAGATGCTGGAGAATCTGAGATAACAAGGTGTAGAGCTGGATGAACACAGCAGGCCAAGCAGCATCATAGGAGCAGAGAGGCTGACGTTTCGGGCCTAGACCCTTCATCAGAAATAGGGGAGGGGAAGGGGATTCTGAAATAAATAGGGAGAGAGGGGGAGGCGGATAGAAGATGGATAAAGGAGCAGATAGGTGGAGAGGAGACAGACAGGTCAAAGAGGCGGGGATGGAGCCAGTAAAGGTGAGTGTAGGTGGGGAATTAGGGTGGGGGTTGGTCAGTCCAGGGAAGAGGGACAGGTCAAGGCGGTGGGATGAGGCTAGTAGGTAGGAGACGGGGGTGGGGATTGAGGTGGGAGGAGTGGA